AGGAGCCTCTCTTTCCCACCAAATGATTTCTCATCACATCCTATCTCTTTGGACTCATTCTCTTTGGTCATTTGCCTGCCCTCGCCCTGCCCTTTCCCCTCCCTTTCCCCTGCCCCTGCCCCTGCATCACAAACAACAGCCCTGACAGCAGGGCCCCTCCGCTTCAGGCACGGTGTCTCTATCCCTGCGGCCTAGCACAGAGGCCTCCAATGAGCCGAATGCCTGCATGAATGCAGTTGCTCTGAATCCCCAGCCAGTGGCATCTGCTCTCCACCTGGAGCAGCCTTTGGTCTGCTCTCACAGCCCCTACCATTCGCACACCACCCCACGCCCCTCCCTCAAGCCCACCCCCATCTTGGGGGCACCTGACACCACGTGGTACCCGCACAGCACACAGGGACCCCCTCTGCTGGTGTGCGTCAGTCCTGCTCTGGCCCCCACGAGCGGGTGTGTGAATCCTCTACTGGACCATCTGACCTGGTGGTATCGCTGCCCCTTCCCCTCCAGATCCTCCAGTTCCCAAAACTGCTGAGAGAAGGAAGGCCAGTTCAGTCAGGGAGAGGCCTGCTGGGTGCTGAGGTCCCCGCTCTGCCTCTGACTCGTCCCTGGGTCCTGGGCCCCTCTCTGCGCTCCCTCGGGGCCTGTGCTCCGTCCCCTGGGCCCTCCTTAGATCTACTCTGGGCTTCAGTTTCCTCCTTACCCTGCTCCCCTACTCTCTTCTTAAGGAGACAAAACAAACCGAAGAGTATGGAGGGCAGAGATGGGGGTCAGGGAACAAATCCCAGATGTGGCCAATACAAGGGCTACCCTCTCCAACTGATGGTGACTTGGGCCTCCTCTGCACCTGTGTGACCTCAGGCAAAACTCTCAACCTCTCTGAGCTCAATCCCTCATTCAGAGAAGATGGAAAATCTTCAAAGGATATTCTGGGTGACAAGGTTGCCACATGCATGTAAGGGACTGTCTTGGGGACAGGGCTGCAGCCACTCCTGAGAGCCAGCCTTTTAACGTAATCATTCATGTTGGACTCTCTTTGAAGATGTTTTGCATCACTCCTTGCCTTCTTGCATTCATTCAACAAACATTTACTGTGCAGTGCTCTAAGGGACCCAGCAGTGAACAAGCTAGAGGAAATTTTCTGCTCTCACGGTGCTGGGATTTTCACGCAGGGAAGCAGATGACCCAGGACATCAGTGCAGCACACCTCCCGCGCCGGGTTTGGGGAGCGCCTGGCCACCAGTGGGGAACGGAGACCGAGCTGGGGGCCTTGTGGGCCATTGCCAGGACTTTTGGCTTCTATCTTGAGTAGGTTGGAAGCCCCTGCAGAGCTGAACAGAAGATTGTCCTGAGGCTGCCTGCAGAGGGCACACCGAGGGCTGAGTGCGGGGACCAAGGAGTACAGCCAGGCACTCAAGTGGGGACCAGGGTGGAGGCACTCAGATGCCCCGACAGACTAGAGGTGGGTGTGAAAGAATCACCAAAGATGAGGTCACATGTTTTGGCCTGAGTAGCTGGAAGAGGGGTGGGGAGGAGACCAAAGTGCAGGTCCAGAGGTGTCTACCAGACATCCCAGTGGGGACATTGACAAGGGGGTAGGGACATGGGTTTGGAGTTCAGAGTATGGTCCAGGAGGTGTGAATCTGGGAGTGGTCAGCATGGAGACAACACTCAAGCTCTGACACTGGATGAGGTCCCCAATGGAGTGAGTACAGGTGGGGAAGAGGAGGGGGCTCTACTCGGTGAGGGTTCAGGGTGGGGGCGGAGCCAGCCCAGGAGACTGATAAGGGGGTGGGGTGGGTAGGAGCAGAGGTGGGGTGTCACAGACTGCTTCATGGGTGAGAAGCTGGCCTTGTGTCCCTCAGCATCCCCTAGAGGGCTCGCCTGTGCTGGGCACTCAGTGAGTCCTCCGCTGGTACCTTGGCCAGAATACCAAGGTGAGCTGGCTTTAACTGATGAATGGGAGGGGGGCGAGTGCTGGCCCAGCAAGTTGGGGGCTTGAACCCAAACCTTGGCTTGGGGCTGCGCCCACATGGGACCAAGAATGTCTTTCCCCTTGGGATTCTGGAGGACCTTGCTGTACAGGCTGAGAGGTGGCTGGTCCCATCCCTGGCGGAGCCCAAAGCTTCCCTGGGCTCCGCAAGGCCTCAGGTTCCCAGCCCGAGATGCAGATGGACCAGGCCTGCGGCTGCAAACTGGCCTCCTGAGCTAAATCTGGCCCACCAGCATGTTGTATTTGGCCTGCTAGAGGGTTTTAATTTTTTTTAAACATTTGAGCCAACATTTAAAAATTGGGAGAGTTTACATTTTAAAATCCATATTTTTGGCTTCTTACTGAAATTTTGGAAGATCTGGCAACTCCGGCCCACATTCCCACATGGCAACAGTTGGGAAGCAGGGAAGCAGCTGCCCTCCTCCAGCACACCTCGGGGGTCCCCCACTGGGGAGAGGCGCTGTCGCACATTAAGCTGACCCTCCAGATGGGGAGACTGAGGCTCAGAGAGTGGAGTAGCTTATGTGAGGTCATTCCGTGGATAGGGTCCAAACGCAGCTCTGGGGACTTCCAGGCCTGGTATCCAGGGTCTCATCACAGCACCACTGGGCTGCTTCAGACACCCCCAGCCTGCTTCTTCTTCCATGACCCCGGCCCTGTGCTTCTTGCTCTTCTTCTGACCCTTTTGTTCTCAGGAATCGGTTAGCTCCAGTCATTCACACTATAGTATGAGTGAGCCTTGGTACCAGGTCTGTGATAGTGACAGCTGGAGGTCCCAGAGACCTACGGTGGCTTCTGGTTTGCTGGGCAATGAAGGGGCAGATCAGAGCCTCCCATGATCATTCAGCCAGAACGGGCAGAGGTAGGACTAAAGAGCTGGGCCCTCCCCTGGTTTGTGGCTTCCTCCCAGGAGTGGTTAATGATGTGACTCCAGGCGCTGTCCTTGAGAAAGGGCTTTCAGACTGATGACTGGAAGCCAGGGGTCTGCCCTGCTTGCCCAAAGCTCTACCTTCACCCTGGGAACTCTCCGGGGACACGAGCCTGTCCAGGCCAGGAGGGCAGCAGGTGCAGGGAAGTGGGTAGAGGGGCCGTGGCTACCATCGTCCTGGGGACTGAATTCCTGCTGTGCGCCAGGCACCGTCACCCATTATCTGGAATCTCCTCCCTACACACAGGAGGACACTGCTGGGGACATGGCTTGCCCTGGTTCACTGAGCCAGAGAACAGCCCAGCCAGGACCCTGCCAGGCTCATGTCTCTGAGCCTCAGTTCCTGGTCTGTGAAATGGGCCTGACCCTAGTATCTCTCTCACTGGCCTGCTTTGAGTATTTGATGCAAGGCTGGAGCTGAAGGGGCCCAGAGTAGATGCTCACCATGTGATGTGATGCTGGAGTTGGCGGGGTGGGGCCTGATGCTCACCTCCCACTTCAAGGAGTCAACGTGGCTCCTTGTGCCAGTCCCCTACTACCCCAGCACCAGGTCCCTGAGGCCCTGTGCCGAGGAGGCACATGCGAGGAGCCTTAAGATGGAATCCTCTAGAAGCCTGGACACCATGGGGCTCCCCTGGGACCCAGTGGTCCCCTGAGTGAGGTCTGCAGAGCCCAGAGCAGAGGACAGGAAGGGGTCTCAGGTCGCCAGGACCTGGAAGAGGCTGGGGACACGATGCTTCTTGGGTGCCTGCTGGATCCTTCCCCCATGACAAAGCAAAAGAAAAATCATGACCATTATTGCCTTTTCATGGTTGTGGAAACCAAGGCCCAGAGCGGGTGGGTGACCTGTCCAGGTCACATAGCAGGTAGCATCCTTGAACCAAGTCTACCCTGAGCTGAGAACCCCTGGGCTAAGTTCAGCACAGCTGACCCAGCAGACCCCAGGGGAAGGGCCGGTGGGCTTCAAACACCCAGAACTCTCCACCAGCCACCCTGCCCCTGGGCCCTCCCTGGAGAAAGAGGCAGTCCAGGTCATTGGAGGCAAGTGGCGCGGAGGAGCAGAGCTGCAGAGGGGGAGGCTAAGATGGCCTGTGTCTGGCCCCGGCTCCTCTCATGACCTCCCCTCACCTGTCCTTTCCCTACAGGCAGGGAGTGTAAGGATGGCATAGACCCCCTGAGGGTACACTGAGGCCAGGGGCCAAGAGCTAGAACAGCACTGGTAAATGCTCAGCAAGCATCAGCCATTGCTGCTGCCCAGGATTTTGTTTTTAAAACAATCTTTCTCAACAGGGAGGCCATTCTTGGAGGGGCCTGTGAAAGATCTCCTCCCTCCTGGCCCTGCCAGCCCGCCTTGGTCCTGTGCCCAGAGAAGTCAGGGACAGGGCAATATCAACAGCTCACAAGGACCTGCCCTGACTACAGGAGATATAGATGGTTTGGGAGACAGACGGTCAGCAGCAAGGTGGGGTGCTGCCCAGCACAACCTGATCCCCCAGGACAGCCACGCACGTCTCACCAAATCTTTCTGTCCGTCTGTCAGAGGCCAGAGTGTGTGTCAGAGGCCAGAGGGGGTCCTGAAAGGGAGACATGCACTTACATATGAAGACCTCAATCCAAGCCCAGACTCCCCAGGGTGGGGGCCTCCCCACAAGCAGTAGCTTCTTAGAGCCTCAGCTTCCAACTCCATAAACTGCAGGCAGCTACGAAGGACGTGAATCCACCTATCTGCCTGACAGGGCTGCGACATCCAACCTCACGCGGATGTGTCTGAGGTTCAAAGATTCAAAGGTATGGTCATATGAATCCCGCGGTAAAACGCCAAGGGCTCTGCGGTATTATTACTGCTGTTGTTGTTGTTCACTCATGTGCGCTCAGTCCAGAAATAGTCTGCCTGCCCCAAAGCCAGAAGCTTCATCCTAGAGATCCATTCTTTTGGTGCTTAAGGTTTTTCCAGCTACAGTGATTATAAGAGGATGTGATGGGGGAAATCGGAGGGGGTCAGCAAGAAGTTGTGAGGAAATGCATATGGAGGGAGGCGGGAAGGGGCTGCCTGCTGGGGGACAGGCTGGGGCTGAGACTCACCCGGCTTGGAGGCCTCCTGGGGGAGGCAGCTCGGCCTCCTTGTTTGCTACTGTCCATGCGAGGTCCACTGGTCTCCACGGCCCGGCCTGGCCCCCTCCGCTTGCAGCCTCCGCTGCTGCCTCCGAGGACAGCTGGGGGCTCAGGGCCAGGGTCTTCTCTGGAGCTGCAGCTCCTGCAAGGGGCTCCGGGGCCAGGCCGGGGCCTTCCTCATCCGGGGAGGGCTCTGGGCTGTGTCCTCTGGGCCCCCGGAAGGCCTCCAGGGTCCCGGGGTCCAGCACCCGCACAGTGACCTCATCCAGGAACCTGGAGAAGGGCAGCCTGG